CTTTCCCTCTTTCTTTTCTCTCTCTTCTCTTCTCTAGCTTCTCCTTTTTTCTCTTCTCTTCTCTTTTTTCTTTCCTTTTTCTTCTTTCTCCTCTTTCTCTCCCATTTTTTCTTTTCTTTTATCTCATTCATTTTCTCTCTCCCTTTCTCTTTTTTCTCCTCTCTCTTGTCTTTCTTTTCTCTCCTCTTTTCTCTCCTTTTTTCTATTTCTTTTTTTCTCTGCTTTTCCTCTTTCTCTTCTTTCTTTCAGCTTTTCCTCTTCTTTTTTTCTTTCTTGTCTTTTTCCCTTTTTTCTTTCCCTTTCCCTCTCTTTTCTCTCTCCTTTTTCACTTCTTTCTCTCTTTCTCTCTCTCATCGCAACATGCGTAACAAAAAAAGAATACACAAGAACAAAGGTAGTATCTGGAGTTTTATTTATTATCACCAGGTTTAGAATTTTTAGAAAACCTGGTATTTACTGTATAAAAAAAAAAAAGCAACATTTGTGATTGTTAACTCCAGTAATATGCAATGCATCCTGCCATGTACCCCCTGCTCCGGTTTTGTTTTTCTGGCATGCTGGCACCTTACAAGATGGACAAGGGTGGGTTTTTTGGCACTCCAGCCAAAAACGTTGCCTACCTTTGTCATAGATGTTAATTGAAAAGCTTACTCCCCTAAACTTCGGGGGGCTTTGGACCAGACCGCAAATTATTACCACACTGAAAGGACTAATTCAAAACGCTGAATTAATTTTATAATAAAACCTTTCTGCTTTGCAGTGCCATATAATCTTTACAGACATGGCTAGTTGCTTAAATTATGTGCTACCCTCTTAAAAACTTATTATTTTTAGTGACACAAATAGATACCTTTTCATAACAATCTCTTCTGAAAAGGGTGCTGTAGATTGCAAGAGAAGGAAGGTCATTTCTAAAGATCCCATCAGAATAGATGCATTTTATATTGTTTTCCTGTAATTTAGAAGGCCATCTAAAAGTTTTCTGTAGAAGTTTTAAAAAATAAATCACCATTCTCCTTTGTATTTAGGCATGTTCATTGTAAAGAAATTTAATGGGAAAAAGTCGCATAATGAAACGGTGGATTTTTGCTGTCAGGTGAAAAGGATCGTTTGAAATATCATGCCACTTAGTCTGAATTAAGAGGAAGATTTTCAGAAGTATCTAAATGATTCAGGAGTACAAGTCACTTATACTTCTGAAGATCCTACCCATTTTTCCTTTGTGGTCAATAAAACTGAATAAACAAGTTCTGTGAACTAATCCCGATTGTGAGCATACAGCTCTTTAGCTACTCGGTGATAACTTCCTATGTACGTGTTGCTACATACATGTTGCAGAAAATGTGAGGAAGATTCCACTTACTGTACAGTGAAAGCATGCATACAGACACTTATCGTGGAGTAGCTAACATGCTCTAAGGTCATGTACTAGCTCACAGTAGAGTTTTGTGGAGCCACACCCAAAAAATATTTTGTCCTGTGGAAATAGACATGTTTAACTTGATTAACAGCTGGAGTTATTAGAATCATAGAAAATTAGGGTTGGAAAGGACCTCATGAGGTCATCTAGTCCAACACCCTGCTCAAAGCAGGACCATCCCCAACTAGATCATCCCAGCCAAGGCTTTGTCTAGCTGGGTCTTAAAAACCTCCAAGGATGGAGCTTCTACCAGCTGTATGGGTAACCTGTTCCAGTGTTTTACTACCCTCCTAGTGAGAAAGCTTTTCCTAGTATCTAACCTAAACTTCCGTTGCTGCAACTTGAGACCATTGCTCCTTGTTCTGTCATCTGTCGCCACTGAGAACAGACCAGCTGCAGCCTCTTTGGAACCACCCTTGAGGTAGTTGAAGGCTGCTATTAAATCCCCTCTCAGACTAAATAAGCCCAGTTCCCTCAACCTCTTCTCATAGGTAATGTGCCCCAACCTCCTAACCATTTTCATTGCCCTCTGCTGGATTCTGCAATTTGTCCACATCCTTTCTGTAGTGATAGGCCCAAAACTGGACACCAGTTCTCCAGATGTGGCCTCACCAGTGCTGAATAAGGGGGAATAATCACTTCCCCTGATCTGCTGGCAACACTCCTACCAAGGCAGCCCAGGACGCTGTTACCCTGCTTGGCAACAAGGGCACACTGTTGACTCATAGTCAGCTTATTGTTCACTGTAATCCCCAGGTCCTTTTCTACAAAGCTGCTGCCTAACCAGTCAGTCCCCAGCCTGTACCAGTGCATGGGCTTGTTCCTTCCTAAGTGCAGGACTTTGCACTTGTCTTTATTGAACCTCATGAGATTTCTTCTGGTCCAGTCCTCCAATTTCTCTAGGTCTCTTTGAATCCTAACCCTACCTTCCAGTATATCTACTACTCCCCCTAGCTTGGTGTCATCTGCAAACTTGCTGAGGGTGCACTCCCATCCCAACTTCCAGATCACTGATGAAGATGCCTTATATATAAAGCTAAATAAAACACAGTACAAAGTACTGAATGACTGGAGTATTTAAAAACTATGTTTGTTTTGTATTTATTTTGGTAGTTGTTTTATTTTTTTTAATCTCTCAATTAGGGAGTCTTATTGGTGTTCAAGTTTTATAACGGAGGTGACGGTGAAACCTACTAACGTGTATTAAATCTTAATAATCTAGTTCATAAGTACAGAAGTAATTTCCCACCTCGCTTTGCTTCTGTGACAACAGTTCAAAATTCCAGAGTCCCAGAGAGAATTTGCTGGTATCATCAGGGGGAAAAAATGTTTTTTTTCATTAATAATGTGAAATAATGTATACACTTAAATCAGATAAAGATCAACTTGTTAGAACATCTACTGGGACAGTGGTTTTCAAACTTTTCTGTGTGCAAACCCCTTTACCTGCAAAACATATTGCTGCTTGCCCCCCTCAGCACAGCCAGATCCTGGGGGAGGGGAAGAAGGGCTTCCCTGCTGGCAGAGTGCAGTGCATGTTGGGAAATACCATCCACCAGAGAAGGGATTCCCCACGTTGATAGACCGTAGTGCATGCTAAGACCTATCATGTAGGTCACATGCAGGGGAACAAGCCATGTCCTGCTCTCAAGTACTGCTCCTATACCCCACAGCCTAGAGCCAGGCACCCGCCGTTCTCAGTACCTGCTGCCGTCTCCAGTGCTGCCACATAATGCAGGACAGCCAGATGGCAGAACTCTGTAAAGAAGAGCCAGCACTGAAGTGTTGGGCCATACCTTTGCATGCATGGTGAGCTTTGTACCCCACTGCAGCTGCTCCATGGTCTTTATATGCTCAGCAAAAACCAAGGCATCACCTGCTCCCTTCCCACAGCACTGTCCCTTGTGACAGTGTAGGAGGTGGAAGGGGAGCCATTTAAGGTCAGCCTCTGATTAGTTGAATGAGCTTTTCTTCATCCTGATTGGGAGAGGAAGGCTCAGTTTCACATTGCTTGGCTGCCTGGATAGTTGGAGAAGGGCAGAAGCTGTATTGTTCTAGACTCTACTAAATTATAGATGCCAATTCCATCAGGTTTTTGCCTTCCTCTGTAGCAGGGAGGAGCATGGGTCTCTTCCTTCGATCTCTCGAGTAGCAGCAGGGTATTGGCTGCTGCGGTCCCGCTGCTTCACCTGTGGCAGGTTAGGGAATTATGTCTCGTGGTTGTGTCAGGATTGACTATGTAGCTTTGCTAATAAGTTAGACAGTGGATTTGTATAGGATGGTTTGGTTAGAGATGATCCTCCCTCATGCAGGTGGTTGGACTAAATGAGCTCTGGAGGTCCCTTTCAGCCCTACTTCTCTATGATTCTTCTATGACTTTTATGATTATTAAAATGTGGGTAGAGTGTCACCCTGGGGGTATGCATACCCCAGTTTCAAAATCCCTGTGTTAGAACAAATGGACTTCCCACACAAACACACTACAGTGCTAGGAAAGAGTAGAGAAAAACAGCTGTTTTTGAGGGGAAAAAACTTAGCTGCAGTTGTTGTTCTGCTGGCTAGTTGATTGTGATGTGTTTTATTGGTTGATTTCAGTATCTTGTAAAAGTATGAAATATTTTTTCCCCTAAAGGTCCTACAAATCTTTCTTGTTTTTTGTCCCAAGATTGTGCTTGATCACTTAAGTATCTGAAATGTTAATTGTTAATTTTCCAAGAACAAGGAGGGACTTTAAATATGTACATTGTTTTTTCACTGCTCTCTTGTGTCTTGATTTACTTACAGACATTTCAGCAATCTTCTCTACAGCAGAAAACTAAAAAGAAAAACAAAGGTAAATAATGAATAAGTACTTTCTGATATAATGGTAGGAAATACAACTGAATATTATTGTCTATAATAGTGTAATATTTTAAAGATGATGATGTGTTAGCTAACTAAATGTGTTCATTTGACAAAACTGTTCATCCATTATTAATATTGTCTCATTCTCTCCTTGTGCTCCTCTGTCTATATCCAACTGTTGTCTCTTGTGTTATACTTAGAGTGTATCTTCTTGGGGACTGGGATCATCTTTTTGCCCTCTTTGTGCAATGCTTAATTATACATGGGCTCCTGGTCCACAGCTAGGACACCTAAGTGATGTGGTAATATACATAATAATTATGAATTGTCCTTCTTTGGTTCAGAACCACTTTCAGCAGTCTTTTGTAAAGGTATGGATGTACTGCTGAATGGCAGCATGATCCTTTATGTAGGTTTTCATGGCCCCTTCAAATACTTGTAAAGATCATAAGGTCATAGGAAAGTACGGCTGGAAGAGACTCCATGAGGTCCTCTAGTCTATCTCCCTACTCAAAACAGGATCATCCCTGACTAAACCTTAGGAGCCAAGTGTATGTCCAACCTGCTCTTGAAAATTTCCAGAGATGGAGATTCTACAACTTCTCTAGGCAACCTGTTCCAGTACTTAACCACCAGCAGAGACATCAAGTTCTCCCTAATCTCCAGTATACATTTCCTCTGCTGCAGTTTAAGGTTATCGCTGCTAGCCCAATCCCCTACAGCCACAGGCAAAGGTCTGTCCCTGTAATCTCCTTTCAGGTATTTGAATGTTGCTATCAAATCTCCCCTCAGACTTCTCTTCTTCAGACTAAATAATCCTTGTTCTTTCTGCCTTTCCTCATAAGTCACACTTCCCACTCACCTGACATTTTTGTTACTGTTTGCTGGACTCTTTCTAATCTGTCCACATCTTTCTTTAAGTGTTGGGCCCAAAACTGGACAGAGAACTTCAGGTGAGGAGGCTTCATTAGTGCCAAGTAGAACAGAAGAACCACTTCTCTTGATTTGCAAATGATACTTTTTGTTAGTTAAACCCAGAATTCTGTTGGCTTTTTTTGCAACAAGAGCATACTGTTGGCCATGGGCAAATCTAGGATGTTATGAAGTGGGGTGCAGCACACTGCATCGCACACCATGGGAGGATCTGGGGGTAAGGCATGGCTGGAATCTGGACAGGTAGCAAGTACACGAAAGAAGGGACCCATTACCACTGCTGCTGCTACAGTCCCCAGCTCGGCCCAGGCATAGGGGGAGCCCCAAAGCCACTTCTACTCTGCTCCGGTCAGGGGCTGTAAGGAGTGATTGCACAAAGTACAACTCTTGGCTGGGGATAGCATGGCAGTGCACAGGATCCTTCTTCCAGTGCCTGCTCTCTGCCCATTCTCCCTCAAATGTCCCCCACAACTGGAAGGAGGAACCGGTGCATCAGCACTGCTGTTCCTGGCTGAGTCTAGTATCCCGTGACTGGAGCAGTGCAGGAGTCACCCAAGGGGCCCTCCCCATGCCTGTGTCAGTGATGGGGGATGGGTTTGTCACAGTGGGGGAGCAGTTAGAAGAAGAGGAAATCTGCCTTCTGCCACTGCTGTTCCCAGAAGAGCCCAGCATCCCATGCAGCTGCTCCCTGCACCCTTTGGCTGCACTGGGACAAGTGTGGCTCTGGGGCTCCCCCTGTGCCCAGGAACAGTAGTGTCACTGAAAGGGAGATACAGCACACCCCTTCATCCCACCCTGGAACCACCCCTGCTGCTGGCTCCTATTTAGCTTATGCTCCATTGTAACCCCCAGGTCCTTCACAGCTGAAGGATCCGTAAAGCCATCCTTCACTGAATACTGTTATTGGAAAAAGGACATTTTACTTTGTAATTATTATAAGTACCCCTGCCTGTATTTGCATTTGTTTATATTTGCTCATTTGTTTGTATATGTTATGCAATGAACTATCAGAATGCACAGAAACATCAAAACCAAGTTATCTTATTTTTGTACACATTGTCCTCCTATCCTATATAACCTCTCTTCTGTTGTCTACTGCATTTTCTTTGATACATAGATTAGTTTACTGTAGGCTAGGAAGTGTGTCTGTTTTCCTTGCTGTATACTGCTCTCTTTGTTTGAGTATTATAATGTTAGAGAAATTGATTTTGAAATTTTATATTAATTTTTGTAAAGAGATCAATCCTTTTAGACAAACTGAACATTCCTGACTAGTTCATTAAATGCATAACAAAAGCCCTTTCGTATCTGCTCCTTTTAACTGTTGGCATTTATAGCTCCCATACCTGGTAAGAGCAAAAGGCGGATTTCCTGTAAAGATCTGGGCCGTGGGGACTGTGAAGGCTGGCTTTGGAAAAAGAAAGATGCCAAGAGTTATTTTTCCCAGAAGTGGAAGAAATATTGGTTTGTTCTGAAGGATACTTCTCTATACTGGTATATCAATGAGGAGGTAAGAATAGAAGATATTTTTTGTTTATGCTGTGTAATGCCAGTGAGTCTCAAGTAGTACTGTTGTCATCAACTATCTATATTCACCCAAATAATCATTCTGAAATTAACAGAACATGTAGGATGATGTTAATCATTCATAGGAATTTGCATGGTAGCATAAAGAGGACAACCAGGGTGCCAACACTGTGGAGGCCATGAAAATATCCACATGAAACCCCCTGATGCTGCTCAAGGTGTCCAGTGCTGCCTCATGTGCCCAGGGCACTCAGACATCCAGTTATGCCTCTTAAGATGCCGGTGCAGTTCTCAGTCTGGGACCAACAATCAGTTGATTATCAGTCCTAGCCCCAGGAACACACGGGAGTCTGGAATTGGATCCAGTGAAGTCCAGGGTCTGGGACCAGCAATCAACTGATTGTCCCATCTGACAACACTAGAGTTTGGGACTGGCCTGCACTAATAGTCAGGGGGTCTGGAATTGGTTCTGGTGTGGTCTTAGGGCTAGGACTGACAATCATGTGATTGTCCCAGCTCTAGGACTGCACAGGAGTCTTGAACCGGCCCCAGCATCTGCAATTATCAATCCAAGCTCCAAGACTATTCAGGGATCTGGAACCAGCTCGTGTGCGGTCCTAGGGCTGGATCTTTGAGACTGAAAATCAGTCCTGGGGCTACACAGGAGTCTCAAGCGGTCCCAGTGCAGCCCTGGGATTGCACAGGAGTCTTAAACAGCGGATTGTTGGTTCCAACCCAGAAGCCACTCCAGTTCAGTTTGGCTTCAGGTACCCAGCTTTCAACTTGCCATTGCAACTTGCCTGGGATCCTCCTGAACTGACAAGTAGTAATGGTGCCATTGGATATGATCCCAAAATGGTGTGTCCTGCCATACATCTGTGGCATAGCAGGAGGTATGATTGTTGAGATCAGGGATCTGATCTCATCATACTATTAAATGAATATGTGCCAGGGGCCTGAGTTTTCAGGATTTGGCCTTTAAAATTTGCCTTTTTAGCATAAGGAAGAACTGCTCATCTCAGTATTACCCTAAGCTCATAGTCTTTCACAAAGTTTCCATTTTCTCATTACTCAAAATTAGAAAAGAAAAGTTAGTCTTGTATCCCTATCATTATAAGCTAGAGATGGGATTACAGTCTTCATTTTATGTACCATTAAAAGTGCCTTATTTAGTTGTAATCATTGAAATCAATGACAGTTCCTGAAGCCCTGCAATTACGCAAAACTGGCTTGTTTCTCAATCAGGTTCTATTCTAATGTGTTGTATTTTGATTTTAATTATGATTTAGGTGCTAAATTATATACTCCGTGCTTTCCAAAACAACCATTTGGCTGCCTAAGGTCCCATTTCTTTAAATAATTCCAAAGAAGTACAAATCTGGCTGATTTGTATCATTTACATACTTCTTCCCATTGCAGCTCCAGCTCTGGCTGGGGTGCCAGTCTGGCCTATGGAGGAGAGCACAGAGCATGTGCTGCCTTGGGTTCCTGTCTGGCCATGTAACGGTGGCAGCAGCTTCAGCCCTGGAGCCAGAGCTAGTGTCACCGCCACCACTGCATGGCCAGTCGAGGGATGGAAGCAGCCTGTGCTCCATGCTGCCTTTACTGGGTTCAAGCAGTGTCCCAGCTGGAGCTGAAACAGGAAGTTAAGTAGTGGCAAGAGTGCGGGAGAATGGAGCAGGCAGTGGCAGTTGCTCTGACTCTGACTCTGTGCTCAGCCAGAGCCACTATCATCCTCCCTCCCCTCTCCTCCTCCCTATTTGTACTCAGATTTAAGATGAAGGCCTTTAACCCCCATGTTGAATGGGAAAACTTCTGTTCTGGATTCAAATAAATCCAGTAAATAGTACTTAATAAAAATGGCATCTATTTTGGTCTGTATACCACCCAAAGCACAGAAGAGCTAAAGGCTTCTCAAAGTACTATATAAAATTGAGTCCCTCAATGAACATGGCACCCCCTGCCTGACCACCCTCCTCCCACTCCCCCTAGCCCCTTGCAGGTTGGAACTCTGCCAGCCTGCAGAGAGCTCTTTGCAAAAATGGAAAATCCATGCATTTCTCCATTAAAATGAGAAATTTGCATTTTTCTCAGTAAAAATAGATAAACTGCTGGGGGGGAGGGGGGGTTCTGTTTTCCCATGGGAACCGGATAACCTGGATCCCTGCTGATAAGTATCCCAAACAATAAAAATGAAGAGCATGCTGCTGTGAAAATATAACTGTATAAATGATAGACCTGGGAATGAACACAAACAAATGGAAAGACAATTATAGAATCATAGAAAATGAGGGTTGGAAGGGACCTCAGGGGGTCATCTAGTCCAACCCCCTGCTCCAAGCAGGACCATCCCCAGCTAGATCATTCCATCCAACGCTTTGTCTCCCGGGTCTTAAAAACTTCTAAGGATGGAGATTTGTACAACCTCTCTAGGTAGCCTGCTCCAGTGTTTTACTACTCTCTTAATTCAGTAGGCTGGAAGAGAACTCATACTTGGATTGGGTCATGAAAATCAAGAGCATATATGGATTGGAGACTAAAATAATCAGGGAAGCCATAAGGCAAGGATGGCTTGCCACACATACAAAAGAGACTATACAAGACTATACAAAAAACAGATATTTTTTCCATACACCTCAATAATCTGAGTAACATGTGGAACTGTCTCCATAGGATGAAAAAGCAGAAGGATTCATCAGCCTACCTGAATTTAAAATTGACAGAGCCAGTGAATGCCGCAAGAAATAGTAAGTGTGTTTGAAATTATACACTACAATGAAAAGAAAAAAGGAAGAACCCTTTAAGGGGTGAATTTTTCCTGATTCATAACCATGTGGGATTTTCTTCTAAAGCCGATTATTTATATCAGTAAAGTTTCTTTGCATATGTTAGATTCTGCAATAAAAAATCAAACGTTTAACTGCACAATAGCTATCTGAAGTTTGCTTTAAAGGTATTGATGGCTTTTCTGTAAATATTTAGCTGTAGTTTTGTGTAATTATTTTAATATCAATAACAGTGTATTTGCAGGAAACAGGTTAATTGGAGTTTATTATTGTTCTCAAGTAAGCACTTCAAGTATAAAATTAATGAAAGGCCTTTAGAGGAAATGTTCAAATCTATGTCAGGCACAAATCTTAACTTTATTCAGGACTAACTAGAGAAGTTTTCAAAATTCATGTTTCAGCTGTCTGTTGACATTAAAAGTTTGTCCTGACTTAGAGGAAACTAACTGAAGCCGATAGTTCAGCACCTGCTTATCTGCATTTGGGATCTGGCCTGAAGCTCTAAAATTACTTTCTCTCTAGTTTATGCTTTTGGTGTATATATGTACCTGTTTTTTCATGTGTATGCTTGTACCCATACGTGTTCAGGATCATTACCACTGAAATTTTTGTGCATTGCTTGCTAAATGGAATTTTTCGTGTTTGTTCTTTCTCTTTTTCTTTAACATTCAGCAGACATCGTTGTCACTGTCGATGACGTTCAAATGTGTTTGGTTTTTTTTTAAGCATGTTTTTCTACTTTTGGTTTTCCAAGCGTGATTGAAATAGTGTAAACTGCTGAAAAAGTAATCATTGCCTGTGATGTTTTGCATTCTCATTTAAAAAGGAAACTCATTATTTTCCTTTTAGTTTAAGCTTCCTTAAATAACAAACAAAAATAAAGATATTTTTATTTAAAAATTATATTTTTTAAATAAACCTATAAAAAAGTGTCAAAAATAAAAATGTATTTTATATTTTTGCTTTTTCCTGTATTTCTGTTTTTTCATGACTCCAATATACACCTGGCTATACTTTATTTAATTTCTTGTTGGTGAAACAGCATTGCTGATGATATCCACTAATCCCTGATAATTTCAATTCATTTACATTTTTCATTCTGTGTGCTTTCTACAGGATAGTAGAACAAATAAGGCTATTCAGTGTTTTTGAATGAATGGGAAATAAAGCAAATAAGGTAGCTAGAAATTAGATGACAGATGTTACAACAATTTTACTGAAGTCAAGTTTTGGGTCTCAGCAACTTGATTATATCTTTTTTTTAACAAAACAGATGCTGCTAAACATCTGTTCTCACTTGTGTAACATTGTGATGTACTAACACATAGAAAAATCCTTTTCCTCTCTCTTTACAAGTCGCATTCCCTGCTTTCTGTTAATATTTAAAGATATTTAAAGACCAAAATTTTTTTTTTAAATTGTTCTTTCTTACAAATAAGGACAATGCACCTAATATAAAATACTGTTTTCTTTTAAAATTTGAGTTTGCTAGGCACTTTTGCTTATTTTCAAATGGTCTTTAAGCCAGTTTTTTAAAGTATTTCTACATTGTAAATTAATATAGCTTTGACATAAGTATCCATGTATAATTTCCAATATCTTTTTACTTATTAAAATTATATTCATACTTTGCTTAAAATTGCTTTCAGTAATTTATCCCACATAATATATCATATATTAAAAAACTGTTGAAATTCAGTCATGTTGATTACTTTGGCAGGAAGGAACAATGACATGCTATTGCCCATCATTCTCAATGACCGCAAAAACACCCTGTTGATGTGCTACTGCTTGTCAAAAATCAATCATCACATCACGTTTTTCTATTTGATTTTCTTTTGTTAGAGCTAAAGTGAATACTGAAGGCACTGACGTTTTGAAAAGTTGTAGGGACTGAGATTTTCTGTTATATCAAGTAAATATTTCAATCAGTATTCTGCCTAGAAACACTTTTAACGCTTCCACCCATGCACACACAATTGTCTAACAGTTCCTTAACACCCATTATGGAAATGCGTGTTGTGCCGACTCTTACTTTTGTTTGTAGGCAGATGATACTTGTCTTTATAATGAGAGACAACTAGATGGATCCTAAAAGTGATAAGATTTTTCAGAATGTCCTTTGTTTTCCTAATCAACTAAGCAAGTATCAACTCATTAAGTAACTTGGGTGCCTATCTAAACCTTGAAAAGGAAAGGTCATATGATTACTGTTTATATCATTGTATTTTTTTCTCCCCCACAGTGCATTCAAAGCCTGCCATCCTAAGATCAAAAGTTTTTATTTTGCTGCTGAACATCTGGATGACATGAACAGGTAACAAAACCCAATGCAACTGTATAGAAAACCACTCTTGAGTATAATGCTTTACTCTGAAGGGCATGAGTTTAACATGTTATAGAGTTGTCTTCATTTTAATGTTAAGTTTGAGGTGCATAAAGGGCATCTTATTTCTTTCAGATGAAATCATATTTTTAATATTTATTTGATGCCAAAATGATCTTACTGAAACTTTTAAAATCAAAATCACCTTTGAGATTAAATAGATCTTCACAACTATCAACCAAATAGGAAGGTTCAACCAAGTAAAAACAAGGTTTTCATCAATATTTCTTTGAAGCAATGCCAACAGTGATTGGTTTCATGTACCATGGCTAAAGAAAGCAGAACTCTGCAGGGTTTTCAGTTCAGAAGATAAAATAACTATTATTGTAAAAGTGCTACTTTGGGGCCTGATCCAGCATAGGTGGTGAGGGCCCACAACTGAGAGTTTAGCATTGAACAATAGTCAAAAATCACTCTTTGCAATGGCCCAACTCAAGGCTTAAGCTCTCTTAACTCCTCAAAATCCCATTTTGAAGAGCTGAATACTTTAACTGGAAGAGTGATACTGTCCTGATCACACAGGAAGAAAGGGTAGATGGAAGGGATATGATTTAGGCTTTATTCATTGTTGGAAACTACCACGTATGAAGGTTGAGAGGCTGGGAAAAGGGAGTTGGAATTTTTGTCCACTTCTGCGATCTTATTAAATGCTTTAATTTTCAGAAAGACTTAAGCAAGGTATACCTTTAACTTGTTTGAATGGATGGTATGAAAACATTGGGATTTCGATGTCTATTAATGTGTTTACTACTATATCTTTTTTATTTTCCCCAAACATCAAATGGAATCCATTTATTATGACAAATATAATGGAAGCCAAATATATAGTAAAAGAAACTGAATTAAAGTTTCCCATCTTAAATTGAGAATCCTGCTCCCTTGGGTTTGTGTGTGAAGACAACATTGACAAGTAAGATGATGAATACCTTTCTAAATTAAATATAAAAGTCAAGCAAAGACAATCCGTGAAACCAGCTCATAAATACTTTAGTAATGTTGACACCTTTAATATATTTGCCATGTTCAGCTGCTTTTTGGCAACTCAGTTTCAGAAAACTTCCATTTCTTGCTGATGACATTTGACCAGAAAGTAAATTAGTTTTATATTTATCATTATTTTTATTCAAATATAGATATCTGATAAAGTTTTCAAAAGCAGCTATGTCAGTTGTGAGCTTTTGAAAGTCATTTGCAATCAGAGGGACTTTGAAACCTTATTCTTTGTAAAGTTTTTGCATTTGGTTGACAGTTATACAATTCTGCTAGATAGACTAGTCACTAAGAATGCAGTTCACTAAAAATTGAACAAAATGTCCTCTGCAATAATGAAATTATATCCTGACCATTCTAAAAATACTGTGAGTTTGAACACAAGTAAAATTTACATCGGTAAACCAGCATTGTGTGAAGAGGTGCCCTGTCTCTGAGGTTTGGCATATGCTATGCCAAATATATCACAAAATTAAATAATGCATTTAAAAGTAAAAAATTAAATTAAAAACTGTTTCAGTGGTCTTGGACTAATCTTAGTAATTTGATTTATTTCTCTTTTTTAAACTTTCCATCATGATTGACTTATTTACATTTTAGTTCATAAAAATATATTAGACTGAAATCTGCTCTCGTTTTTTTACACATTTAAATGCAAACTATCTTTACCAAGTTCCATAAAGTTGATTAATAAAATACAGAGCTAGTATAAGAAAGCATTTGCCATTTAATAGCAAGTATCACATCCTGCACTAGCCCTGATATATGAAGATATTCTGAAACATTTTTATTAATAGAAAAAAGATTCAGTCATTTCTGTTCATTCTTCTTGTCAAGTTTCTGACATGTGCTTTTATTATACATTATGCAGTTCTTTTCAGCACAATTTGTACCATGTACTTCAGGCAGAGAAAAGTAAGTAGGAAATGCCTAAAAACATAACTTTACTGAATAGTTAAATTTCAACATCAATTATTTGATTAAGCATTTTTAGTGGTTAAGGATTTATATATGTACATGAACAGGGTACACGAATAATATGTGCATTTATGCATACACACTCCTATGCCCACAAAATATGCATGTTAGAATGCATACAGGCAGTCCTTGACTTATGACTTTTCGAGTTATGACGAACGACACTTACAACCTTTATAAATTCACACCGTTTCCAGGTTCCAATGTGGGTTTTGAATTTATGACCCTCGACACAGCTGCTTCTAGCTCGTAGGTCCCTTGTGATGGTGGGTAGAAGGGAGGGAAGGGCTGTAGGAGGGCAGAGCAGCGTCTCCACAACAAGGGAGGGGCTGGGGCTGGGGCTGGGGCTGGGACAGGAGCTGGTCAAGTGCTGCCCAGCTGGGGTGGCGGAGAGGGGGGTGGCTCCCAGAATGGCAGTGCGCAGCAGCGGGAGCCACCTCACCCCCTCCCCGCACCCCTTGTGCCCCAGCTGGGCAGCGCTTGCCCCAACCCCTGTCCCTCCCTCACTGTGGGAGTGTTGATCTACCCCCTCCACTCCTTCCCTCCCCTCCCCCCACCACAACAGACTTACCAGCTGGATTCATCTGTGTCGAGTGTTTTAAAGGAGCCAGTCCCCCTTTTATAACATTGTTCCTGTGGAAAAATTGGTTCCGAGTTACAGCGTTTCATCTTAAGATGCCATTTTCAGGAACCGATTGCGTCATAAGTCTGAGGGCTGCCTGTAGTCTTGTTAGTGTTTAAAGGATAGGGTCAGTTGTTACCAGCCAGCATAGCTTTGTTAGTGGTATGAGGAGCTTGATTCCTTACTGCTGTAGCTGTACCAGCAGATGCCCCAATGTAGGTAGGGGCTGTTATATTAGGAAAACTGCACTTTTATCAATATAATTTGCTCTGTTGAAGGGGAGAGGGAGGAAGAGAGGAGAGCAGAATATTGTACAAAGTAAAAGCACAGCTCTGCCAATTTAGTTTAATCACAGTAGATATTCCTTTACCAGGGGTCAGCAGTGTTTTTGGGCAGAGTGCCAAAAACACCTGCAACCTCACTTTGTAAGATGTTGGTGTGCCAGGGGCAGACAGAGGAGGAGCTGCAAGGGGCCCGATCCTTGTTGTGGCAGTGCAACCCTGGCCCCTTCTCTGCTGTCTGCCCCAAGGCATGCATGCCAAGCAAAATGCTTTCATGTACCACACTCTGGCACCTGTGCCAGGGGTTGCCTACCCCTGTCCTATACCATTAAAGAGCTCCTAGTACAGGCATGGCTTTAGGTTTCTATTTAATGTCCTAATCCTGTTATTTGGGTAACTTTTATTTCCTACGATCATCTTTTATGCTTCTTGATGCATTTACTATGTATTTGCTAACCTGATCCTTTACTTAAAGAGAAATGCTCTTCTTTCTTGGTTGATGAGATCAACATTTAGCTTACCTCTAACATTTTTCCCCTTTGGAAAACTATCTCCTAGTCAAAGCAGACAGTTATAGCTATGTTAAAATACCATCTTCAGGGCTGAAAGCCACATCATGGGTAAATTTGGGGCAGGATAGTATTCTGAATGTCTATGTTCATATCCCACTGTGCCAATGTTCTGCCTTCTGGAAGCTAGCCAAGTTTTTGCTATTTACAAACATCTTCCTCCTACAGCTACTCCCTTCAGACCAAAACAAAGGGGACAAGTATAATTTTAGAACTAGCCATATTAAAATCTTTCTTAAAGGCTTCCATATTTCAGGCCTCCTTTAAATTTCCAGTAATAGCATCTCTGCTTCATGGTCAGAGTACAAATGGTTACTGTTGTCGCTTGGACCCTTCAGGGCATCAGCTCGTTATCTGGCTCTGAACATTACATATTCTGTTGTGTAGAATAAGGTAAAATAATAATTAATTTTGATGTATGCAACTTCATATAAAAGTTATTAAATATATGACATTTATATACACAAAGTTTTGAGATCAGTCACAAAATTCCTTGCTTTAGATGTTTGCAAGGGATATGCAGCAACATCACTAGGCATGAATGAGGGGGGCACCCACCGCAGGTGCCAAGTTAGAGGCAGCGCTGGAATCACCCCCCT